CATCAGCCCAGAATGAACCCTGCCTTGTTGCATTTTGTTGTGTTTCTTTCTAAAGCTTGCCATTAGAGATAAAGGAAGGTGGCTTGTATAGGGGCGTGGATGCCATATTAGTGTGTTCTACACTGCTGCTGAAAGGAATTTCTCAGAACGCTGTCCTGCCTAGAGCACTATTATAAATGAGGAAATACTGCTAAGTCAGGGTGGAAAGACAGGGTAAATTATGGGAACCCAGAAAGAAAAAAGAACCCCTCATTCCCATGTCAGATCTAAAGACTTTCTTAACCAAGAAACAAGAACTCTGGCACCATTTGTTGCAAAGGTTGCCAAGTTAGAGTCGATAGAGATACTGCATATTGAAATAGTAGTAAACCAGGCTTAAGGTGGAAATGTATAAAATCTTAGCTAGGGTCTCCTTCCTTTTTCCAGACACTGTCTGAGAACTTTGTTTGGTGGGAAGATGGTCTACCTTCCTGCTTCAATGAGATCTAGGTGATTACCTTATTAATTGTAATCCTGTCGAGTGCTTGTTGGAGCCATCCTAAATTCTCCTTTAAGTTCCTTAAGAGTAATTTAAAGGTAACTGCTTCAAACACTCCCAAACCCTAATATGACTATTGTGAAACTAAAATGAAGTATGGCTATTTTACAGAAGATTATATCATGGTCTTGAGTATGCCTTTGCTTGCTTTCTGAGTACCTCTTTCTCCTCATGTGCAAGTCCATGTTGTAGAATAATAGATGAAGATGTGTTATATTTGCTTATGCTGTGGAACATTTGTTTAATGATGCAAAGACGTGTTGCATTCTTTTATGTTGCATTTGTTTAACTCTATGAAGCTGTGTTACTGTTACCTCAAAGAGCCAAAGAGTAAAAAAAAAAAAAAAAAAAAAAAAACCAATAACAAGCCCATGTAAAAATACCTTTAAAAAGAACTCCAACTCTGTTTCATACTGGTTAGTCCTCAAATTCTTTGCTTTGTCAAGACCACAAATCTGGTTTGGCCTGAAATGAGGTCCCTAAAAGATTAAGGGAACTCCTCAGGCTGCTGCAGATGACAGAGTGAAGCTGTGTCTCCCTTAACAATAAGAAGCAAGAATAGCTTCCAGAGAAGTGTAGATCCTCCGGCTTCTGTATTCAGAGCCCACACAACATGACTGGACACAACCTGCCCATGCCTGCCCTACCCATCTGAACTCAGAATTCTATTTGCAAATGAGATTTCAGAGCACAGGCCTGAGTGTGCTTGGCAGCTCATCTGTAGGCATTTGGAGCCCAAGGGAAAAGTCTCTTAATACATCCTCATCGAGTCCTTAGAGGTGGTCATAAAAAAGAGCCTTGTTAACCAATAGTGTGGTTTCTCATAGTCAGTCACGTCCCAGAATTATTTTGTTCAGGAGAAGTCAAATGTTAACGGATTGATCTTTCTCTTTTAATAAACAAGCACAGAGGTGAAGGTTTTGAGGCCCAGAGCAACCAAGAATCTAAAAATGATTGCTTAATTGAGATTGTTTTTCTGAAGAACACCCTTAGGTGATAATGCTGTTAAGACTGTAATCTTACTTTGTGGCTGAATCCCCTGTTTTATAATCAGCTGGGGGGGAGGGGAATTGTTTGTTTTATTTTGTTTTGACAGTGTGATTTGCTTTGAGTACAGGATCTATACAAATTTGGTCATTTTACTTAGAGAGAGAAAAAAAGAACTCTGTCCATGAGCTCTATGCATTTTATTAGCCTGGCAACATGCTCGTGATTTGCAGTCTCCTCTAGTGAATGCTCTATGTGTGGCTTGCCAAATGAATACATGATTGTGTCTGAATGTTATAATATATCCCCTCCTTCAAAGGAGCACAGAAATTTCATTAATGGCATGTGAGTCAAAGAACAGCAAAGGACCACATTGATGCATACATTCAGCATCAGGTTAAAGTCCCAAGGGGGCACCAATTAGCAAGTTAAATGCAGTTTCTATTTCAAGCTAGATTACAAAGCAATGGGATAATGCCACAGGCCTTTAAAGGGAACCCATTTTAATTGATCAACCTGTAGTCTTTGAATCCAAATGAGCCCTCTTCTCATTCCCAAGGGGAAAACCCTAATTCTAGGTCAGCTCAAGAATGTGGGAGAGTATATTTCACAGGATGGCACATTCAAATTAGTAGTGTTCTTTCCATGGGCCTAATCATAATGGGAGGCTTTTTGTAAATCCTCTAACTGCTCCTGTTAAAAACTGAGGGATTCATTTGGGTAATTGTCACCCACCCCCACCCCACCCCCATGCCCTAGGCTTTGCTGCTAGAATACCACTGTCAGGTATTCAGTAAGTAACCTTGGAAACAAAGATAATTACCTTCTAGTCTTCCCTCTCAAATGTAAAGATCATACAAAATCGGTGGTAGAAATGACTCTGTGCAGACTCTTACGTTTTGACAGTTGCTCTTCCACAAAGAGAGAATTACCAAGTGGCCCTTGTAGTCCTGGGTCCAGTTGAGCCTTCTCTTTTTATTCTGTCTCAAGCACCACAAGGAGGAAAAGGGGCACGTAGGAGGGCACGTAGCAAGGTGCTCATGTGGATGAATTTGTTTGCCTCAGCACAATAAGTTCCCCCAGCACATCGTCAATACTCAGGATGTGGGTAAAGTGAATGCTGTATTCAGATTCTAGTGGAAATCATACCATTGAAGATGTGTATAACAACTGGGCATGGTGCCTCATGCTGAACACAGTGCTGTTTCTAATTTTTTTTGTACAAAATCTTCAACTACTTGAACCTTGTTTATCTTCCGTGGGAAAGGTTTATACATGATGTGTTTTTCTTATAAATATTTAACATGAATAAGCCTGATTCAACATGATATATGGGACTTCTGTTTAGAGGTGGGGTCTCAGTATGTTGTCCAGGGTAGTAGTGAACTACTGGGCTCCATCAATCTTCCTGCCTCAGTCTCACAAATGGCTGAGACTACAGGTACAAACAACCCTATCAGGTTGATGTATTGGTGGGATTCCTGTTTGTTTGTTTTGCTGGGTACCAAAACCAATAGTAGACAAATATTCTACCACTGAGCCACACACAGCTCAAGGTAAATATTTAAAGAACTACTTAATGTGAAATATGTGAATTTTGAAAATGATAACTTCATTGAAAGCAAGGATTCTTCTTTTCCAATGTTATAGTACATGCACTGTCTAATGAGTAGCTCAATACAGAACTTTCCATATCATATTGTGAATATGTGAATTTGAGCCTTAACAAAATAGCATACATATTAAAGTCAAAGGTCTCCTAAATCCACTGAACTTGTCTCATAGCTTTATTTGGTATTATGCTGCAAATGTGCCTTGAGAGACTTATTAAAATGTGAAGAAAGTTTTTATAACATTAAACTGGACCTTAATTTTGAACTAGAACACAATAACCTATATTTAAACAAAGTGAGCACTGAGGTAATTTTATAACCCTATCCAACCATATCAGACAGCCTGAGGCATCACAGTCCCATATTATTTAGAGCCTGGTATGCTCACAGAAGATAGGCTGGCACAATTTGATTGATATTCACTACCCAGTATGTATGTACTAGATACAAATGAGCAAGATAGACCACACTCTGGCAAAACACCTGGGAGCCCAAGTAGGTGAAAGCCAACTAGATAACAGACAACCTTTCAGAAAACAACCGCCGTGGAATGGAAATGCAAGACAGTCTTTTCCACTTGTGAAATTGAGAAGTAGATTGGACTTTTGACAGTGACTTCCTCTGGAGTGACTACAAAGACTATTTAGCTCCAGAAATAGTGCTAAGGTCTGTTCATACCAGGTAGGGGACATGCTTGATTTTCACAGTCTGGTGTTTGATAATCTGGTCCCTCACTGTGAGGTTGTTCACATGCTTCTTCTCAGGTTATAGTAGTACTGGGCATTAATTAAATTTATCCAGACTCTCTCTGTGTGTCTCTGTGTCTGTCTGTCTGTCTGTCTCTCTCTCTCTCTCTCACACTGTCTGTCTCTATCTCTGTCTCTCTTCCCCTCTCACTCTCCTCTCTGTCTCTCTGTCTCTCTGTCTCTCTCTCTCTCTCTCTCACTGTCTGTCTCTATCTCTGTCTCTCTTTCCCTCTCACTCTCCTCTCTGTCTCTCTGTCTCTCTCTATCTCTCTCAAGATGGGGCCTTGATATGTAGCCCAGGCTAGCTTTGACCTAGTAATCATGCTGCCCCAGCCTGGAAGTGTTGGTATTACAGGCCTGTGTCTGGACATGTCTCCATCTTGGCAGGATATATATTTTGCCTCCTTTGCACAGCAGTTGTCTGATCAACCCTTCTCTTCTGATCTCATCACTAAGCTTTACTTTACTGGCTATTGAATTGAACTCTGTTCCATCTGGAATATGAGAGTTCTGAGCTTCCATGGAACTAAAATGCACTCACCATCCACGTCATCCACTGATGGGAAGTAGCAACAGTACAAAATTATTCATGCAATATTTAAGCTCATGTGCAATGACCAGCCAGCCATAGTGTTTCCCATGGTACCTAATTCAGAAGTCCCCACTTAGGCAATATGGAATTTGACTGCTTCATATATCATATTTCTCTCCACTTTAGGGAACATGTAGCTATCTGAAGATATGAAAATTAATTTAGTCTAGATTCATATTTTACATCTACTCAAACATTTATTTGAACTCACAAGAAGTTAATTGAGCTAATTTAAAAGGTGAAAAACTAAAAGACTTCTCAAATATTGACCAAAAGACTGCGAGAAGTAACTTAGACCTTAACATCTAAACCACTGCAGGCACATTGCCTCCATATGATCACATCTCTCCTACAAACCACACTCCCCGGCTGCTGAATTCATGGGCTGATTTGCTCTGCAAGGTGCCAAAAATGTAGCTGAAGTGAGAAGTGCAAACAACTAGAAAGAAGAAAAAGAAATGCACAAAGAGGATATTTTTGCCAGAGTCTTGGGCATTCAGGAAATTCATAATCATACAAATGTATAAATTTTTTTAAAGAAGTGTGTTTATTTCAACCCATTTTTCCTCCTTTAATTCTTCATGTCAACCCTGCAAAAGAAAAAGCAAACATATCATTAGCCTCTTTCCCTCCTTAATTTTATTAAGATATGACTAACAAACAGAAACTCTATATTTACAATGTGATGTGATATTTTGATATATGTATACACCATGAAGTGATTAAATCAAGCTAATTAGCATCTATAACAACTCATACTTTTTTATGGTTAGAAGACTGACAATCTACTATCTTAACAATTTTCAAACATGTACTACATTATTAATAGTAGTCACCATACTGACAACATTCCTGCCATGTAACTGACATTTTGTGCCTTCTCAACATTTCACATTCTTTCAGTCCCTGGAAACCATCATTCTACTTCTGCTTCTGAAAACTCAATATTTAGATTTCAAGTGAGGTTATACAGTATCCTTTCTCTAGCTAGCTTAGTTCACTTAATGCAGTACCCTCTAAGTTCGTTGTTTGGTTTACTTTTCATGAGATATTTTTAGGGACAGCTTATATACCAATATGATTAGCACAAGTTAAAGAAGGTATGTGACCCCATTTTTACTTACAAATGAATCTCTCAATTCTAAGTATGCAATGTGAACTGTGAAAAAACAGTATAGTATAACCATCAACTTTGGTTCTAGTGATTTAAATAATTGTGGACTGAATTAGGATGGTGTTCCTCTAAAGAATTAAAAATGTATACTGAATTTAAAACTATGACTTGGCCTCCCAAACAGATCAAGCCAATCGACTGTCTCACCTATTCAGAGGGCCTGATCCAGTTGGGGGGCCCTCAGCCTTTGGTTCATAGTTCATGTGTTTCCATTCGTTTGGTTATTTGTCCCTGTGCTTTATCCAACCTTGGTTTCAACAATTCTCACTCATATAAACCCTCCTCTTTCTCACTAATTAGAGTCCCAGCGCTCCACCCGGGGCCTAGCCGTGGATGTCTGCATCCAGATTCCTCAGTCCTTTCATGGGGTTTCTGGCACAACTATTAGGGTGTTTGGCCACTAGGCAGTGGTACCGGGTCCTGTGCTCATTGTTTGAATTGGCTGTTTGAAACCTGGGGCTTATGCAGGGACGCTTGGCTCAATCTGGGAGGAAGGGACTGGACCTGCCTGGACTGAGTCTATCACGTCGATCCCAGTCCTCTGGAGGGACCTTGATCTGGAGGAGGTGGGAATGGAGGGTGGGCTGGGAGGAAGGGGAGGGGGGCAGGAAGGGAGAGAACAAGGGAATCTGTGGCTGTTATGTAGAACTGAATAGTATTGTAAAATAAAATAAAAAAATCAATTCTGTAAAAAAAAACAAAAAAACAAACAAACAACAACAACAAAAAAAAAAAACCCTATGACTTGGCAAAACTTAGCCTGGTAGAAATTTGGATTCATGACTCTAATTCAACCCTTTATCCATTTCCATGGCCATGTAACTATAATTTCCCACCATTGTAGGGAGGGTTTAAGTTCTAATGGCTGAGTTTGGACATGTGATTTTCTTTGGCCAAGAAAATGAGACAGAAGTGTCTTTAAAAGTATTACATGCTTTTGCTTGCTTAGTTGCTCCTCTGCTATTGCCATAAAATGAGTATACCCACATAAGCCTTTTGACCCCCAAAGAATGAGAAACCTGTAGCAAAGAGCTAAAAGACCTGAAGACTCATAATTGAGTACAGCCAGATCAGCTAAACACAAAACACATGAGCCAGAATGAAAACGTCTTTTGTTTTCATCATTGGATTTGGGAGCTATTCATTATGCAGCAATCGCTAATAACAAAGTGCCGTTTCTTTCCAAAGCTCTTCCCCACCAAGTATCAAACATTATTGACACATTTGTTTTTCATTAGTCTTGAGTGCCATTCTTTGTGTGTTTTACTTATGTGAATAGGACAAATTGTTTCTAGGTAGAATAAATACCTTTTTATCACCAATGGCTAGATTTAAAAAAAAAATCTGCAGGCAAAGGTCATGTGTCTGCTGGGGCGAAAACTAAGTCTTGGTTCTCTCCACAGCCCTCAATTTCTTCTCTACTTCAAAAATTGGCAAGCCAAATACTATATTTCTCCATATCTCTTATAGCTAGTGGGAGTCATGGAGCCCAGAAATGGCCTATGATCCCTGAGAAGTGTACAGCTGATATCTTTTAGAAAGCTTTGCTTCCCAGTATGCATCTGTAGAGATCACAGAGCCCCACATGGCTCTGAACATTTGTAGCATTGCCATGATGTAGGCTGCATTGTTCTCCTTGCTGAGATAAAATGCAAAGAGCTTCCAAAAGCAAAGTGACTTGCTCAAAGCCTCACATCTTCTAAATAGAAAAAAATGGATTTTAACTTAGGTGTCCTGACTCTGACGCTCTTTCCAGTCTACTAACAAAGATGATTTGTATGGCTCTTTGAACTAGAGGGGAAAGCAGGAAGCCATTATGGTTGTAAAATGAAATGACCTCTTGAATTTCTGTAGAATTTGATTTTTGTATTGTAGTAAGAACACAACATGAGATCTACTCTCAACAAACATTTAAATGTAAAATATGTTATTGTTGGCTTAGGTAAAATGTAAGATCCCTATAGATAATTCATCTTGTTTAACTGAAGTTTCATATCCATTGATGTGTGATCCCTTATTTCTTCCTCCCTCCAGCCCCTAGCAAGAATCTTTGCTTTTATGAGTTTGACTAGATAGGTACGTCATATAAAAAAATCATATAGTAAATGTCTTTCTGTGAGTAATATGTTTCACTTTGCATAATGCTGACCAGTTCATCCATGACCTACAGTGCAGAATTTCTAAGGTTAGATTGAATTCCCTTGTATATTGACAGTACATGTTATTTATTCATTGCATTGCTGTATATTTAAGGGAATTTTTTTTCTACCAATTTTCTAAAGTCACCAAGAGTAAGTAAGATGCCACTTTTGTCTCTGTTCTGGGTTTCTAGATGAGATGTAGATCACTGACTGACAGTCCCATATAGTCATACTGGTCACCATGCCAGTCCTGTCTGTAACTGTTCTCTCTCATCCTTCTGCCCTCTGAGTTCACTGAACCACATACGTACTGTTTCTGCAACATGGCAAGGCCATCAGACTTCTTGCCCTTTGCTTAAAATTTTAGACTGAAACCCCACCTCTCCATGCTTCTCTGTGTGACCCCTGAATGGTGTAAGTCTGCTTATGTACATCATCTTCTTCCCCTTGCATTTCCCACTATAACTCTCCTGCCATGGGGTATGACTTTCTAAAGGGTATGCATGTGCCCTTTCCATTTCCGCTTACATCTGATTGCCTATCAACTGCACCTGATATAGGAACCTCAGGACTGATGAATAGGACCAAGAAATGATAACTGTGTTGGAGTTATAGATAGCCTCACATTCTTCGATGTGAGGCAGCAGGAATGAGCAAGGGGTCATAGATTCAATAAACCAAGACTGATGATTTGATGTGCTATGTCCCCGCTGTGCTGTCAATTCTTCTCTAGACCCCAGACAGAGTCCCATCATGACTAGAGTGTGTTATATTCAATTTATTGCAGTGAGCACTGTGTTGGGTGACATATGGCCAGCCTTTCTGGCTAAGTGAGAGGTCCATGACAAGCTGACCTTGAAGCTAAGACATTCCTTGGACTTCTCTGAACAGCATAAAAGGGGTGATGATCCATAGCAAATTGTCACTGAGGCATATTCTGTGAAGTGTGATTTCTCTCTGAGAAATGTCCAGACAGTGAAACACTGTCTGCAACCCAGAAATGTTACCATTTATATGACAGGCACCATGAGCACTCTGATCACTAGACATCTTCCCAGCTAGATGAAATCATGGCTTTACTGAGAAATATTATTTAGGTGGCCTTAGCCTTAAAGGAAGTAAGCTCTTTCCCCTCAGCCACTGTGCCTAAGAGCCAAAGCAGTCTGCAAAACCCTGGTTAGAGAGACAGATGCTGGCTGGGTCTTGCCACAAGCCTATACTTCATGTGGGAAAAGACAAAGAGCTGATGGTGACGGTACCGGTTTTGATTATGTATTATGTGCTAGGCACCCCATTGTCTACATATTGAGCCTGGTTGTTTCTGTAGGAGCCAGGCAGAAAGTAATAGATAGGACAACAGAAACTTCCCCATTGTCTTATAGATCACCCTGGAGCTCACCCCAGCTCCCTTTCCCATAGAATTTAAGATGGCCCAGTGAGCGCAGGCACAGAACTGTGCTCATAGATAAGGTCAAACATAATCTTCCCTGGACTACAAAGTCCCAGAGGAGTAGAGTCTGTATCTCTGACCTCATGGGACTCACTGTGTACTGAGAATACATGGCTGATACCAGAATACAAAAAAGTCGGGAATCCAGAGACCAGCACTCTCTTCTCTGAGTCAGGGCTCTAATTTAGAAATGGAATCAATGGGAAGATATCCAGAGCTAAAATTGCCCATGCTGTAAAGCACACTTGTTTGTCAGGGTGTTGGAATGCAAGTATGTTGGGCAATCACCAGGGCCACGATGCTTCACCACCTAGAAAACAGTTGTCAGTGACTCCTCTGTGTCCTAGCCTTATGAAGGAAGGTGAAATACCCTGCTAAAAAGTCACTTGACAATTCCCCAACACTTCTTTTCTCCCTGAAATTTAAAAGCCAGAAGCCCCTCCTCCAATTTCCCTTTGACCAAGGCACATTTTGGTTGCTGTAAGAAATATACTAAATCCCTCCCCTGTGTCACTCTCCGTCTAGGCTGAGGATCATATGATGTTTATGCCTCACCATGACCCATTTATAGCTGGCTTACTCATAGTCACTGTGATCCCACATACATCATATGGGAAATGAAGTCCACTCAACACTTGTCTGCATTTGTTCCTTTGACCACACACTCTGCGGGTGGTGCAGCAATTACTCCCTCCTATGTGGTGCCAAATCATACACCCATAAACACAATGACACTCCGAAGTAGTGACACTCAGAGACAGGCAGTGCCTTGTACTCTGGTTTCATTTGCAATGGCCAACCGTATACTCTGAGCACACTGGTTCA